GTTACAAACAGCTGATCGGATTGGCAAAGCGTGTTTCTGGAATATTATGTTTTTGTTGCTGCAAGTGCTTTTTATGCAGTTTTTGCAAAGCTATATGTGGAAGGAAACTGTGACCGAGGACAAGCTGATGGCATAAGATGTAAGTACAACTCCTCTGGTTTCATATGCAAAAAAAAATTATTGCGCTAGCTTACGTGGTTGCAGTGCTACCAGGATTTTAAAATAGTTACGCAAAACGGAGCGTGCCCGCTCCGACCGGCTTTAAAGGGTTAATTAGTTCATATAAGACAGTGTAGCAAATTTAATACACAATAAAACCCCAAACTCTGATTTGAGTAAAGGACTTCATGTCCAGGTGGATTTTTATGGCTAGCAATGCATCTGTATAATAGTAACTCATTTCATTTGACAAGGATAAAACCAGAGTCCTCCTGAGGCAAATTGAATAGATTGCACTTAGTTGTCAAAGGCCCACATCTGTGTATCTAACACCCCACAATTCACAGTGGATGTCAAAACAAGCGCCAAGCCATAAATTCATGGAAACTCATCTGTGGTTTTTTTAAAAAGGGGAAAGAAGTAGATCTGAGGAGTGCTGGAGTGTTTCAGAGAAAAGGGAATTTGGAACCACCAGGACTTTTCCGAGAGTTGGTTGTTCAGCCAAGAGTAACTGACTCAGTAGCAGTCCTTCAATCAGACACTTAGAGTAGAGTGGCTAGATGGAAGCCACTCCTGAGTAAAAGACACACGACAGCTCGCCTAAAGTTTGCCAGACTGCATTTAAAGGACTCTGAAAGCATAAGAAAAAAAAAGTCTGATGAAACAAAAGGTCTGGTCTGATGAGAAAAAAATTGAACGCTTCGGGCAGAACTCCAGGTACTCAACATTCGCGTTCCAGCCAGCCACAGCAAAACACCATTATTAAGCCTCCAGACGACACTACAGTGGTTGGACTGAGTCTCCCTACAGGGTGGAGGTCTGCAAACTAACAGCATGGTGCTGCTACTACAGCCTGGTACTCAACCCCTCAGAACATCAGAGGGCAAGATCAGGAACCCATTCCATTATTCATCGACAGATACAGAGCGGATCGAGCACCCAGCTTTAAGTTCGCAGGAAGCCAGAGTATCACCTCAGGTGAAAAAGGCAGAGGAGGGTCTAATTCCCAAGAATGCTCAGCAGCTCCTCTGCTGTATCATAGAAAAATAAAAACACATTAAAGCATTTCTGTAGAGTTCTAATGGCAGCTAACAGATTCTTCCAATCTAATATAAAGAACTTGAAAGGATCTGCCAAGAAAAAAATGGCAAAAGCAGCCTAATTTAAGAGAGTTTCAAATGACCTGAAGCTGCATGTGCTTCCCTGGGATTTCTACAAACCTCTGAGAGAAGGGTGTAAACAATAAACGATAAACTTCAGTTTTTAAGATTTGTTTTAAAAACAATACTCAGTTATGGACTCTTAGCCCTGAACTGAGTACGTGTCTCAGACCTGCTGCTATCATCCACAGACGTCTGTATTGTTCATTAGTATATTTGTCATAGTAGCTGCTGTATTGCTGATTGGCTAATAGAATTAAATGTATGTTGGTATCACTACAACTACGACTGTGTAACCACAGTCGCCCCCTGCTGGCCAGCAGGAAGAATGCAGATTTAAGGCACTGGCTTTTTCAGAGCTGGAAGCAATGTCCAAATAAAAATACAAATTTACAGCAAAAATAAAGACGTTTAAAGGCAATTTTAAAAATAATAGAAAACGGGGTTTGATTAATTGTACTAACAGAGAAGACAGAAATTCAGTTAAATTCAATTTTATTTATACAGCGCCAAATCACAACAACAGTCGCCTCACGGTGCTTTATACTGTAAGATAGACCCTACAATAATACATACAGAGAAAAACCAACAATCATATGACCCCCTATGAGCAAGCACTTTGGCAACAGTGGGAAGGAAAAACTCCCTTTTAACAGGAAGAAACCTCCGGCAGAACCAGGCTCTGAGTGTGACATTCTAGTCTTTAACTATTCTGTTACTTAGAGCTAATTATCATGTATATGCATCAGTGTGTTGCACCTGATTGCTAGTATTGGTTGATAAGTCCCTTCTGGTTCCAAAAACAAAAACATGGTGGCAGCATGTCTGTGTAGATTCGCAATCATCCAAGTCACAGTAGTCCTGAAAACTTAAAAAGAAGGTAACTGAATTTCTTTAGATTAACATGGTGGAAAAAATGTAACGCTGAATCTTCCCAAGGTTTGAAGATAATAGCCGTCATCGCTTTACAAACCATGCTGTCTATGTCCATCTTTTACATAGAGCCTACGTTATTGATGTTCTGACATGACTGTTTAAAAAAGATAAGTTTGCATTTGACTGCTTTTCTGTAGTCAAATGCAAACTTTTGAATATTATTGTTGTACAATCTACTGTACAATATAAAGCGCCTTGAGGCGACTGTTGTGATTTGGCGCGATATAAATAAAACTGAATTGAATGAATGAAACAGTAAAAGCAGCATTACTGTCGTTTACCCTGAGCAGCTCTTTGTTGCTATAAAAAAGTCCTTTATGTTTTTTTTTCCAAAGGAAAAAACTTGGAATGAGTTAAAGAGAAAAAGTGTTCAGAAAAACAAGCAAGTATTGGATGTCAGTGTC